TGGGGAAGTCTAGGAGGAAAAGGTTTGACCCATGCTGGGTAAAGGCTTTCCAGTGTGCATACCCTCAGGTCATTCATACATTTAAGCAACCCCTCAGTTATCTCTGTAAGTAAGCTTAGTAAATTCATTGGTTCCCCAGTAAAACTTTAATCAAACATTGGCTTGACAATAAAACTTTATAAGGGAGTAAGCATTGCTTAGTATCCTCAGGAAAAGAATTCTTACAACAGATGGAAAATTTACTTGTTAACGCTATTAGGTCTCATAATTATTTTTTAAAAATGAGAATGTAAAAGATGTTAAAAGGATATGGGAATGGAGATATTTTCCAAAATAGAAAAAAATTGAGAAAGCCTAAGCAAGTGATAAAAGGTCTGTATAGGTTTGTTATGATGTATAAAGGATGAGACAAAAATACACATAATCTTAAAATTTCTAAGATCCTAGTTTAGTCAACTAGTTTAAGGAACTATATCTATCTATATATATATAATCAAGGATTATCTGAAAACATTTGGTTTTTTACCCAAGCTTTATCTACATAGCACATAGTAATTAAAAGTACCAGACTGGTGGAACTAAACTTATTGGATGTTTAACAGCCATATTTTGAGGCCTATACTAATTGGTCCAGAGGGACTTAAAGGACAGTTTTTGCCCCTTGCCTTCCAAGGTCGACCAAGTTCCAGGGGACTACGGAACATCTCTCAAAATGTCCTGCAAATGTGGTAAGTCACCTGTCCTCTCTGTTCAGGGAGGTCATACAGACCCCACAAGATGGACTTGAACCAGTGTCCAGTCTACAAAGAGGAGGGTCAACTTAGTGTGCTTCCAAGTGAAGCCAGCCATGGTCGAGCAGGACTTTTGACTTATCTTCACATAGATGGAACTGGTAAAAGAAAGGAGCCAGGGGCTCCTCCCAAGCCCATGTGACCCCTGAAGAACAGATCCTGAAATGACCTTAAATATAAAAATAAATTGATTTATTTGGGCCAACTTTATGGTCTTAATCACCCAAAAGTAAAGTATAGATAAAGAGTAAAGTTATCAATATATTTATTTAATATTTCAAGGGATTACACATCCCAGATATTAGGCATATAAAAGCTATTTAGACAATTATTTCTCATTGATGATTTTGTTCCTAACCAGAAAGTGCTGCTCAGATGTAAGACTTCAAATCTTGGTCTCCAATAC